ATTTTCCAATCCCTGCACCATCTGACGATAAAGGCGTACCCCAAATGCCCGAACTCACTGGTTCATTCTGTTGCTCCCCTTCAGCTCCCTCGTGACTGCCTTCCGTAGCAACATCTGCCGCCTCCGTGTATTCAGAATCTGTTCCATCACTCTCACCCACATTTTCATTAGGAATAAAGTCAACAGTAGAGTCTGAGGAATCATCAGAACCCTGTCCATCTGTCTCATTCGAAATTTCCCTTATGGGATAGTAGTAATTTCCATAATCGTTTTCACAGAGGAAACGGAAGTGAGGTAGTTGCATCACTGAGTCAATCGACTTTATCAAGGGTATGATGCCGGTTCGGTGCATAAGAGGCAAATAAATGGAGCGAGCTTTCGTCAGCAACTGATGACACAGCTGAAATACACAATGCACCGTCCTCTCAGACTCCTCTGCCAAAGCCATAAAAATCATCTGAGTGAGGCGAAACCCCAACGAAATTCCAAACGGATATGTGTTAATGATGGTCAGGCTTTGCGAAGAGAGTCGACTGACTAGTTGCAACAATATCAAGACGGCCTGATACCTTGAAGGAACGAAAAAAAATGATCAGCTAGAGAAAATTTAAAAGATCCACAATTATTCGAAAATCCCGCCCTCACTTTACTGATTCCAATTGCGTTTGTGCAAAGACGTCAACTAATCCAGGGAATATTTCAGTAGCGAGAATAAATAGTTGCTTCTCTGTTGAACTACTCTCTTCATTCTGATAAATCGGTAGCAACTGCGAACTGCTCCCTTGAGCAGGAACATAGGCGCTCTCCTCTTTCTTCGACATATACCCTGAAATTAAATGCATCGATCCGAGTGACGTTGAAATAGACGGATGGTGAAATTGCTCTATTTGTATCGCAAAGTACTCACCTTCCAAAAGCTCAATGACTTCTCTACCACCCAAAGGTTTTGCTGCTTTAACTCGGTCAATCGGACGAAGCCCGTCTTTACCGGTGACAGTGGGATCTGCCCCGCGTCTAAGCAGAACGCGGCAAACCTTTTCTCGACCAAAAGCCGACGCATAGCCTAGAGCAGAGGCTAAATTGAACGCAACTTCTGCATCTGGTTGAGAGCATATCATCTCAACCATCTCCGG